GACATGTTGAGCAACCCTATCATTCACCTCTCTTATCTCTTGCCCGAAGGTAGCGTGAAGGTCCTTCATGAGGAGAATTCCGGCGACTGGCCCTCCGACGTCTGCGGCGTTGCACCACCAAATAGTCACTGGGCCGTCTCCTACTGGCGTTGACTTCGGGTACCCTCCGTTTCGTCCTTAGGTAAAATCGGCATGATTTGATCCCACTTTTGACAACAATTGTCGCAAACCCTTAGCTCTTAACAATACTAACGTAATTAACATTTTTTATTTCAATTTTAAGCGCACTTATATGTCGGCAAGAAGCTGGCATATTAGTTTTTATGTGACTTTATGCAGCCTAAAACCCGCAAAAGGGTACAATGCTTCTGAAGATATCTAATTTGTCAGAATACGATGGGTAGTTAAGAAGACCTGAGCAAACAGATGAGCAATACGTGCGTACATAGCTTTCTAAAATTGTAATCATCCTTTTGGCTTCGCCGCAGTTGAGTAATAATATACACTTACATCATCTGCGTCAAATCAGAAAACGCAATATACTGCAATCGGTATCGATAACTGATTGAGGAAAGCAATGCATGTTGCAGCACTATTTGTCACCCAACATGTACATTACACCCACACTGGTCTATTTTGATTTTGTCTCGCCCTAATCATACATCGCTAGTCTATAGTATCCGTAGACAGAGAAACCTATAGACAAATAGACGCCTTCTTTCGCATTCGCACACGAAAAAGATAGATTTATGCATACGTCTTGCATAGAAATGAGACAGAGCGGTGTGATTGTTTGTCCCTTTCTCCGTGCCCGTTTTTTTTGTTTAGCAAACTACATTTTGCTAAACAACTTTGACAGTTCGTAGCGATCTAAGGAGTTTACAAGTTGGTTTAAGCGAGAAAAAAGTGTTTTGTGAGCTTAAGATTGGTGAGAATGTTGTTCACATGTTGAAACTTGTTCAGTTCAGTTCTTAGAACAATTAAATTTTTTTATCTAAATATGTTTAAAAGTCATAAAGATTATTATATAACCTAAAACTACGATATCGTCCTTTCTCACTCTAGGCCACGCTAATCATTAGTCTATTGGTTTCTCTGTCTACGATAGTATCTCATGTGTGATTATTAGCATTTGTTATATATATGCTATACTAGTATATAGATACCATTCCACAGCCTAAGAAGAACAATATCTATGGTTAAATTATAAATATTATAGACTACTTTTGTGTTCATAATTTAATTACTAACAATATAATATTTCATATGCGTATCCTTTGAGTTAGAAGTAGTGCCAAATCAAAAAAACCCGTTCAGCGCTAACTAAGATACAAAAAGCTATAGAGATAGACAAGTTGCGCTGGGATATTATAGGATTATTTGAGGTCCGAAGAGAGGGGGACGACACGGTTATTAACAAAATACAGACAACTTGTTCTATCTCCGGGAGAGCGACCACCTGTCCCAAGGAAGTGGCGGATTTATCGACCACAAGTCTTTAGTTAACAATGTTGTTAAAATTGGGAGGTGGGGTTGTTGACGAGGGTTGCGTATCTTATACGCATAATCATCAATCGGTATTCGTTGAAAGTCATACAAGTTTATGTACTAACTGAACTGTATGTACATCCCAATGAGGAGATGGAGGAAATGTATGAAGATATCTCTAGAACTCACTCTTCCAAAACCCACTATAAGATGTTAATGGGAGACTTCACCGCAAAACTAAGCACTAGAGAGATCGGTGACCTGAAGGTAGGGAAATTCGGGATAGGGCAACGGAAACCGACTGCATGGAGACAAAAGGACTCTTTATGCTGAATTCTTTTGTAGCGGCGCTGTCGTCGCGCCACTAGCACACCGAAACACATCGAAGCCTAAATCGCGCTATTAACATTCCGAATCATAGACAGTATATCTAGAACTTCTCCGAACTACCACTCGGAGCGTTGGCCACTCCCCGGGCAGAACACCTTGCCCGGCGGGAGATCTCCCCTTTTCCTTCCACGGCCACACTTTCTTCCAAAAGCGGCCACATAGCAAATGGACCTGGTCAAGCCCCGCGGTTGGACAAAAAATGAGGTTGGCTTCATTATGTTGACCATACGGAAACTGTTCAGTGATATCTCAGTCTCATTGATCGCGAGGGTGAAAACTAGTAGCGATCACCGAATGATAAGAGGCACATTAAATCTTAATGCTAATTGGGGATGCCACGTCTAATGATGTCATTGCTCCTTCCCTTTCGTGCTTTAATCCTAAACCCCGAAAATGTTCAGTTCAAATAAAAAAAAATGTTTATGTGCCTAGAAGATGCAATATAGTGAACGATATGAATGACAAACTCGTGAAAACTGTCAATGCATTCGGAGCTAAATTCTGTAAGACCCGTCGCAGAAGAACATCATCGTGTTAGACAGGAAATGACGTTACAGTCTTCAGCAGATTTGACAGAATACAAGTAACTGAAGCAACAGATATTCAAATTTATGCGGCGGGACTTACGCAACTACAATACAGTTCGCATTGAAGAAGTGGTAGAGCGGGACCAAATCTGACCAAAGCTGAAGATCGAATGTAGTAGTATCATTTCCGGAACACCTGAGATCTTGATTGAGATTAAAAGGTTCTAAGGACATCTGTACACGTCATTGTTGGAGCCACACGGAAGTGTGAGTCACGATCCAAGAGCAAGTCTTACACGACACTATTCCGATGATATCCCGCACGTCAGTCTGAAAATGGCTCTCGGGCGCCTTAAAAACGGCAGAGACCCGGTCAAAACTGGAATTACAGCAAAGCTTCTGAAAGCGGGTGGAAAACCAGAACTTGAAGTCCTTCAGAAGCTCCTTAATTCCATCCTCAATGGTGGCACTACTCCAGAGGCGTGGAGCTGAAGTGCGGTGGTTTTGTTCTTCAAGAAAGGCAAAAACGCCCTCTTGAAGGACTACAGACCAATTTTCGTTCTGAGCCGCGTCTACGTGCTGTTTTCGAGAGTCATTACTAATCGTCCCGACAACTTCCAGCCTCCCGAAAATGTCAGTTACCTGAAAGGCTTTAGCACCATAGACCACATACATAAACTTCAGAAAATTGTATAGAAGATCGAATTGTATACAATCTGCCACTTTGTCTTGCGTATGGGGACTATGAGAAAGCCTTTGATTCCGTTGAAATTTGTTGCCAAGTTGACTGTCGATATATCGTGCTGAAGTGTTTGTACAGTAGAGCTACGATTGCTATCCGAGTAGAAACCAGAGTACGAAATCTATCCAACTGCGAAGAGGTGTAAGACAGGGCGGCGTAATATCTCCGAAAATCTTTACCGCTGCATTGGAAGACGTTTTCAAGCTACTGGACTGGAAAGGATAAGGTATTAACATCAATGGCGAGTACATCACTCACCTTCGATTGGCCTACGATATAGTTCTTACGGCAGATTCGCTCGAGGACCCAAGCACTATGCTCAATGATCTCAGTAGTATATCCTAATGGATAGGTCTTAAGATGAACATGGCCCAAACAAAAGCTATGTGTAACGTCCATGTCATACCTATTCCGGTAGTTCTTGGGAGCACTAAGCTTGGAGTTATTGACGAGTATGTTTACCTATGACAAATAGTCCGACTAGGTAAGTCCTATTTCGACCGAAAGGTCAGTCGATGGATCCAACTCGACAGGGAAACGTTCGGGAGATCACGACACATCTTCTAGTCAGTTATACCTCAGAACTTGAAAATAAGATTGTACAACCTGTGCGTGTTACCAGTAAAGATTTATGAATCTGAGATGTAGGCCGTCACTGTTGGCCATTTGAGGAAGCTATGCTCGGAATTTCTCTGTGGGATAAATTTATAAATCAGGATTTTCATACAGGGTAGAGTCACGCTGCAGCTATATTATGGTTGTAGCACGAATGGGTCGGCTCGACCGGGGCAGCACCACGCTCTCACAGAATACTAGCGTAAAATAGCAGCGTAGGTAGATGGCAGCAGCGCGGTAATGCTGCTGTGTTTCGTATGGTGAGTGTAGAGAACCGGAGACCCATTTTACTGGAATTGAGCCATTCTACGTTGTTCTCAGGGGTGACAACGCATTTACATTTTGATTCTTAGTTGAGGGTAAATGTGGATATCTGTGGGCCACAGCATCCACTTACCTTCAGGTGGACTGTGTGCTCGTTTGCATCAGCAAATAATTCTATATCATGATTATCCCCTACAGGCTGCAGCTACAAGCTGCTAGAACTACAATGGGAGGCCTATGTTCAGCAATGGACTTGTAAATGGCCGTAATGATGATGACGATGATCAAAAAAGCGGTAAATTTCGCGCTTACTTTGAATTTTGACCCGTGAAATCTTAAACAAAAAAACTAATAAAATTCAAAAATACCTACGTTACATTTTATAGATTGCAATCATTAAATAATATCATTATATATATTTTTAATTTAAATGAATTTGCAACTATGTTTCGTCGTCCAGTGGCATGGCTGCCACCCGTGGCATGCATGGTCAATGGACACTGGCGCTTAAACGACTTGATGGATTTTAACATGATATGAGGGATCGTTAAATGCGTCTTAAATGTGAGAGTTACATAGGGTACAATTTTATTTTAAATTACTGCTTTACCTATTGAACTTGCTCAAAAAATTAAAGGAAATGTACCTAGCATTTTGTATCGTTAAACCAAGTCTTGATTTATCTATTTTTAAAATTTCGTTGTATCTTAATTGTGATTTTCTACATGGACAATAAATCTATTATGTCATCGTTTAATTTCAACAAACATTTTGAAAGTGAGACATTTAATAACAGGCAACCTGCAATTCGGCGCTTTGATCAATTACCTAGGTACTGCTATTGATCGGGGCAGTACCTTTCTACTTTTGTTTCGCTGAAAGTCTTCCGTGTAAAAGCATATAAAATGTTCTAAGACAAACCATCGTGTATCACAGCATCACTTGATATCGTACTTCAAACATCTCAAGAAACAATGGTTTTCAAAACTTTGGTAAGTTTCCTAAATGAGGTTTCATATGTAACGGACTTTTACGTTGCTATATAAGAGTATAGGTAATATACAATAAGTAGCATATGTAAGAGTAAGGTACCTATTCAGAGGGACAACTACATACATAAGATTATCTACTACCTAGTTAGGATAATGAGTCCGTGTTTCTAAATCTCCAGCGCTGTTCGTAGTTTCCGATGGGTACGACGTCGCCGCCGTGGAGGATTACCAACACTTGTACCATATTAGCTCTTGAGACCAGTTATAATATTGAAATTACTCGAGGCTCTAACCTATTAATCCATAAAAGAATAATTGTCAAACAAGATGTAAAATACTATTTGGTCGGTAATTTATCATTGAATAATTATTAATATTATTTTTATAGATGTTGGCTATTCTGATGACTGTAACTGCTAACAGTACCAAACCGGATAAGAGAAGTGCGGTTCCCTGGGACCTGATGGGTTCGTCTGGATGGAACACTGGCGGGGACAGTATTCCTGCCACGGTGGTTATAAATGGAAGTGGTAAAGGTAATTATATCTTTGTACTTTGGATTTACACTCTGCACTTATTTCGCTTTGACTTTCTACTTAATTACTTTGTAAGAAGATTTTGGTGAACGGCAAAGTGGTGATATATTGTAGATGTACCCTTAACCGACGAACATGTGAGGATGTATCAGGAGCGTGCCAAATGAAAGTCCGCAATCTTCGTTTACACCTCTCAGTGGCAGGCGAAGGTTTACTGGAACAAAAAATATGTTTTTAACTATTTTTTGACGTGTTGCCTGCTGCAGAAGGCTGGTCAACAGACACGAATAGCGACGTAGCAGGAGCGCTGGCAGCAGCAAAATCTGCTGCAACAGCGGTGATGGCAGCTCAACAGCAAGTTGCAGCAGCAAAGCACGCCGCCCTCGAGCAGCAGAGCGTCGCCAGTGCTAAGGAGGCGGCGGCTGCCCACGCTGCACACAAGAGGTATGATTTTGTTTTCATTTGGCTGCCAATTACAAGTTGAGTTTCGTATCGGGTGTGTTAAATATTTATGAGTGAAACATCCTAATATATATAAATTACTTGTCACGTTGTTTGTCCGCGATGGACTCTTAAACTACTTAACCGATTTTAGTCAAATTTGCACACCGTGTGCAGTTTGGTCCAACTTGAGAGATAGGATAGTTTTTTGCCCATGAGTGTCTCACAATTTATTTCTTTTGTGAATTTAAAGATTTTTAATACCTAAGACATGACAAAGAGTCGTCGAAAAGGGCAGAACAACGTCTGTCTGGCAAGCTAGTAATTTGTAATTATGTTACGTCTAATTTATAAAATCTTAGAATATTATTTATCTTCGCTTGTCATAAAAACGTTTTGATTGTAAAATGGCTGTTTATATTATGTTTTTGTAATATCTGTAGTTACGTGCTATACAGGGTAATATTATTTGAATAATTTTATTGCGTGAGTTTTATCTAAATGTTTAAAATTAGACTGAATGGGTGTTAATGATTCAATTGACTTTTTATTAATTTTACATCTAAGAAACAAGAAATACAAAAGGCCTTAGGGTTACTTTTAAAACTTTGTAGCTTGCAATGCCAAAAGGTCTGTTACACACTTTTACTATTTTCCACAGTGAGGAAGCAGCGAGAAGAGCTCGTGCCCAAGCTCTAGAAGCGGCTCAGGCTGCAGTTCATGCTCAGGCGCAGCTCGCAGCGGCTAAAGCTAGAGCAGCCGCAGCACAGAAGATTGCTGCAGCGAGAGAATCAGCCGCTGCTAAAGCGATTCAGAACGCCGCACATAGTCAGGCTGCTAGGCTGCAGAATGCCGGTATAATACGTAGTATTTTTTTGTTTATCATTAGTTAATAACAACAGTTCTTTGATCAATATATTTACGTGAAGAAATCGCTTTAAGATCGAAAACACCGCCCATATTACCAACTTGGTAATACAGATGTTCTTATATATGGAAGACACCAAAGCTTTTCCAAAGATAAATTATTAATTCTATTGTATGGAGTATTACCTAAACGCCAGTTTTGGCTTTTTGCCCACCCCCATAGATGGCGTCATAGGGAAGATTCTGCCACAGTTAACACGCTCGGCGAGCGGGTTGTCAGCCGCAGTTTTATTATTATTCTGAGTTGTTGTAAGGACGACGCTGCTGCCCACCTGTACTGTACCTGTTGGAATTTCCCATGTTGCCTCTTATACCCAGGAACGATATGGGTAGTGGATACTATTATACCGCCACTACATGGTAATCCTTTCAGCCACGGTAGTTTATCCCGGAATATAAATACTTGACAGATTTTGCCTTTGTTTCCTAACTCGTATAAAACATCGCATCAAATAATATTACGTGCAAATACTTCTGCAGACATAGAATCGCTAAAGTGGTCGGTGCTGCAAAGCTCCGGCGCCGCGGGCGCTGCGGGCGCAGCACAGCACGCTGCGATCGCGGCGGCGGCAGCTCTGCGACCCGACGCAAGTGCAGGACGGCCGACAACCAGATGGCAACCGTATTCGTCCAGTGCTTGGATTTGGTAAACGAGAACTAAACATTATTCTTCATGTTTGTTATATGATCTGACTAACACAAAAATTTAAATAAGTTTGCCTTTAATTGTTTTTTATTTATAACCTAGATGTTTTAATCTGAAATAAATATATTATAATATAAGAATCTTTAAACAAAACTCCATCTTTAAAAAATACATTTTTTAATTGCTTAATATCTACTAGTAGTGCAAACAATATAAGGTTATAATTTAAAATGGTTTTAACTTATAACGTGTAATGTGGAGCTTACACTATTGGCAAAGTATAATTTGCACAATTATGTTTGTCTATTTGCATTCTCTACCATTACAATGTTTTTATGATTATATTTTTGTGATTGTTACAAAAATTATAGGTACTTGAATCATTTTTTGTAAGTATATTTTTGTCATTTGTGTAATAAATAATATTTTTAAACGTCTTTTGCTTTTTTTTCATTTCTAAAAACTTTCTTACAAATAGGTACTTAAATTATTCGAATTCAAGCTGTATCGAAGAGGTGTTTTCCAATTTTGACATTATCTTATTGGTTTATTCCATAACCAGTAAAAATAAGATTCACTGACGCGACTTTATAATGTACTAGCTGGCCAGGCAGACGTCTGCCGTTTAAGCGTCTGCCTGGCAAGCTAGTATTAAGACACAGAGTAATTAATTAATTAATAGTACTACGTACAGAAGTTTCACTCTTTAATGTTGACCGCTTGCCGACGTTTAATAGCCTACATAACTATTATTAATTAGATAAATCGCGCTCGCAAGCTAAATAAAATTTTATCGCTGCGCGAGAGTGTCCGTATTACTTTGCACATTTTCCTCTTCCTACGTTACGGATTACGGTGGACTTTCCGTTGTTATGGAGAGATGTCAATGCAGAGTAACAAAATACATTGCGAAATATTAATTAGGTTACTTAGGTGAAATACCTATTCTGACTATGATCGACAGACCATATTTTTGCACCTACGTGAGTTCTGCGATGCCTAACGCTTGCAACTTGCAAGGCCATTCGTCGGGAATCGCGACGCTTGGCTCGGAAGGAAAAGGTAGATAGTGTAAACAACAAATAAACTTGAAATACGATTCCTAACAGAAATGTAATCGCATTCTACTTATAGTTCACGAAAGATAGCTTGATCTCTGCGACATCTGTCAGTAAAATCACGCCTATGAAGTCCTGAATTTCTTAGTAGTACAGACAGTACCTGTCAATGTCATACTTTATGGGCATGCACTAATTAGGTCGGCATGCCCAGAGATCAAGCTATCTTTTATGAACTATAGTTAAAAATTTTGTTAGAAAACAAAGTTTTGGTTTCAGAGTTTTGTGTTATTCAGCTTGCTCAATGAGTCTGTGTTGAGTTTCATCAAGTGTTTCCGCGGCTCTTAAGGCGGCCTGACGTTCCGCTTGTTCGAATAGCCTTTGCTGACTTTGAGCAGGTGTTTTAGTAGCTCTTAAAGTAGATTGCCGCTCTGCCTGCTCAAGACGCCTTTGCTGACTTTGATCAGGTGTTTCAATAGCTCTTAAAGTAGCTTGACGCTCTGCTTGTTCAAGAGCATTTGCTGACGTTGAGAAGGTGTCTCAGATGCTCTAAAAGAGCTGACGCTCGCTTCTTGCCTTCTCAGTTCTCGTCTAGCGATCGAGCTAATCTTTTCGCTGGTCTTTGAGAATATACTCTTTAAAGGCTGGAATTACGTTTGCGAGGCATTATGAAGTAACAAAAAACCTATTTATAAAAAAAAAACAAAAAAAAAACAAATTAAACTTCCTTTTAAATATTTTTTTTAAAAGCAAATCCAAAATATCTGAAAGGAATAAATATTCCTTTTAAATATTTTTTAAAATCAAAACAACAAAACCAATTCAAGACACAACACGAATCCGAAAACGATAGCCAAGAAAAATCGAATCAAAACAAATAGAAATGAATGAAAGAGTAGTATATATTAGGTTTTTAATACAAGTGATAAAGGAATGCCAACCAAATCAACAAAACCGATCCAAGAAAATACACAAATTCGAATATGAAAGCCAATATAAATCCATTCAACCTTAACCAAATCACAAAGCAAATAACAAACAACCGAAATCGAAAGCAGAAAGTCGAATAAGCTACGAAATAGAAACAATTTAAGGGTATAGGTACCGTATGCACTATAAGTTGACGCGCGGCTCAACGGCGGGAGTTAAGTACATGTCAGGAAACATTTCGTTACCGCGTTTTAAAAACCTAGTAACGACATCTAGCGGAATCAATTTAAACTATGTATACGTTAGTTAATAAGAACTCTCAAAAATATTTTTCTTATAATTTTGCACAGTTTTTCTTATTGTAATACAGATTCATTCATAACCACATATAAGAACTGTATTCATTTCCCATCAATAAATATTACTAAGGCTTAAGGTAATAGTTAAGGGTGAAAGCGTGACAGGTGGTGATAGTATTTCTGAGTCATACTTATAATCATGCCCGCAACCCTTGCGGGGTAGGCAGAGCATCAACGGATTATTTAATATCGTCTGCGAGGTTATCGCCTATTCTGTGAATTATAATGCACCAAAACGTTTGAAGAAAATCAGCTGGTGAATTTTATGTTTTTTATCGCCCTCTTCCTGGTCCTGTGTGGAAAAATACAGATCCATACATTTTTTATCTTAATTTTGGTAAAAAGACATAATAATCCAGATATTCTGACCTTATCTGTTCGTCCATCGTACCGTCGTCCGTCTTGTAGAACCACGGTGGCGCCACCTAGCTGAATTTAATTTTGCAACATATTCAATTTTCCCAAGGGAATGATATATTTTTCCGCTGAAAAAAGTAGCCTATGTCACTCTACAGCCACCGAACTCTCTCCATACAAAAAATCATGCCATGCCGACGCTCTGTTGCGACGTGAAAGAAGGACAAACTTGTGCAAAATATTAGATTTTCCCACGGGAATGAGATGTTTTTCCGCGGAAAAAAGTAGCCTATGTCACTCTACAGCCACCGAACTATCCCCATACCAAAATTCATGCCATACCGACGCTCTGTTGCGACGTGAAAGAAGGACAAACAAACAAACAAACACACTTTCGCATTTATAATATTAGTATGGATATCGTGAATTATGAACGCCACACACAACATAAAGAGAATAGGGTTATTTAGGTAAATTAAGTAGGATATGCCATAGTTTAATGTTATACATATAAGTATTATGTGTCATTTAAATTGTCTATGACAAAATGAGCTACAACAAATAGACGATCAATGGCAGAAATTGCCGAAACTAAAAACAATATTTAGATACAAGCCAACAACCTAACGTATTTTGGCAAAAAGTAAAAAGCATTTTTAGCAATTACCAGTTTTGAACTTCCTCCACATTTTTTTTTTCTTATTACATAAAATTGTCCATGCCACCATGGTTACCATGGTCGCCACCGTAGCCAGGAATAGCGGGGCCACCGGGGACTAGGGGCCGTTTATTTGTGTCGTTGCTCATGGGGGGATATTTGCCATTGTTGCCACGCTTGGCGAGCGGGTTGGTAACCTCAGTTTTTTATTATGTTATTGTTATTTTTTTGTATTTAGTGTTAGGAAGATGCTGCTGCCCACCTCCTTTCTGTGTCCCTCTGTCGCCTCTTACGACACCCACGGGGAGATACGGGGTAGTGGATATTCTCAACCGCCACTACACGGCCTAAGCTAAGCGGAGCTAAGTTCTGCAAGACCCGCCGCAGAAGAACACAAAAAGTCTCCGATCACACTCTTAATCACATGGTTGTTAGACGGGAGATGAGGCTGCAATCGTCAACAGATTTGACAGCATACAGGCAACTGAACAGACAGATCTCCAAATGCATGCGGCAAGACTTACGCAACTTTAATACTGCTCGTATTAAAGAAGCGATCGAGCGGAACCAGGGCTCCAAAGTCTTTGCCAGAGATCTGTCTGCCAGAAAGAGCCAACTGTCAAAGCTGAAAACTGAGTATGGCAGCATCGTTTCCCTGAGATTTTGAGTGAGATTGAGAGGTTCTATGGGCAGCTGTGGAGCCACAACATCATCGTTGGAGCCACACGCAAGTGTGAGTAACGATCCAAGAGATGCAAGTCTTACTCGACACTATTCCGATGATATCCCGGACGTCAGTCTGAGCGAGATTAGAATGGCTCTCCAGCACCTTAAAAACGGCAGGGCCCCAGGCGAGGATGGAATTAAAGCGGAGCTTCTGAAAGCGGGTGGAACACCGGTACTTGAAGTCCTTCAGAAGCTCTTCAATTCCGTCCTCAATGGTGGCACTACTCCGGAGGCGTGGAGCAGAAGTGCGGTAGTCTTGTTCTTTAAGAAAGGCGACAACGCTCTCTTGAATAACTACAGACCGATTTCTCTTCTGAGCCGCGTCTACGTTTCCATGGGAGTTGTAGACCGAGGAGTACAATCCGCCACTTTGCCTGGCGTATGTGGACTATGAGAAAGCCTTTGATTCCGTCGAAATTTGGGCGGTGCTACAGTCCCTTCAGCGGTGCCAAGTTGACTGTCGGTATATCGAGGTGCTGAAGTGTTTGTACAGTAGGGCTACGATGGCTATCCGAGTACAGAACCAGAGTTCGAAACCTATCCAACTGCAGAGAGGTGTAAGACAGGGTGACGTTATATCCCCGAAACTCTTCACCGCTGCGTTGGAAGACGTTTTCGAGCTACTGGACTGGAAAGGATACGGTATTAACATCAATGGCGAGTTTTTGCCACATATAGTCCTTATGGCAGAATCGCTGGAGGACCTTAGCACTATGCTCAATGACCTCAATGGTGTCTCCCAACGGATAGGTCTTAAGATGAACATGGACTAAACAAAGATTATGTTCAATGTCCATGTCACACCTATGCCGGTTGTTGTGGGGAGCACTATGCTCGAAGTTGTTGACGAGTACGTTTACCTGGGACAAATAGTCCGACTAGGTAAGTCCAACTTCGACCGAGAGGTCAATCGACGGATTCAACTCGGCTGGGCAGCGTTCGGGAAATTACGACACATCTTCTCGTCAGGTATACCTCAATCTCTGAAAACTAAAGTGTACAACCAGTGCGTGTTGCCAGTGATGACTTACGGATCAGAGACGTGGTCCTTCACTGCTGGCCGTATGAGAACGCTCAAGGTCGCTTAGCGAGCTATGGAGAGGGCTATGCTCGGAGTTTCTCTGCGTGATAGACTCAGAAATGAGGATATCCGCAGTAAAACCAGAGTGACCGACTTAGCCCAACGGATTAGTAAGCTGAAGTGGCAATGGGCCGGCCATATAGCTCGAAGAACCGATAACCGATGGGGAATAAAAGGTTCTCGAGTGGCAGCCTCGTACCGGTAGGCGTAGTGTAGGGCGACCCCCCACTAGATGGAGTGACGACCTGGTAAGACATGTCGTTGGATGCAGGTGGCTCAGGACCGTGCTTTGTGGCGTTACTTGGGGGAGGCCTATGTTCAGCAGTGGACTTGTGAAGGGCTGTAATGATGATGATGATGATGATTGTTTTTATAGATATTGGCTATTCTGATGGCTGTAACTGCTAACAGTACCAAGCCGGATAAGAGAAGTGCGGTTCCCTGGGACCTAGTGGGTTCGTCTGGATGGAACACTGACGCGGACAGTATTCCCGCCACGGTGGTTATAAATGGAAATGGTAAAGGTAATTATGTCTTTGTGCCTTGCTACTCAAAATTTGTTCTTTTTTAACACGATTTTGGTGACTGGCCAAAGTGGTGATACATTGTAGGTATACCCTTAACCAACGCACATGTGAAGATGTGTCCGCAATCTCTGCTTACCCCTCTCGGTGACAGGGTTACTGGAAAAACAATTTTTTTACTATTTTTTGACGTGTTGCCTGCTGCAGACGGCTGGTCAACAGACACGAACAGCGACGTAGCAGGAGCGCTGGCAGCAGCAAAATCAGCAGCAACAGCGGTAATGGCAGCTCAACAGCAAGTTGCAGCAGCTAAGCACGCAGCCCTCGAGCAGCAGAGCGTCGCCAGTGCTAAAGAGGCGGCGGCTGCCCACGCTGCACACAAGAGGTATGATTTTGTTTTTATTTGGCTGCCAATTACAAGTTGAGTTTCGTATCGCGAGTGTCAAATTTTTATGAGCGGAACATAATTTGTAATTATGTTACGTCTAATTTATAAAATCTTAGAATATTATTAACCTGAGCTTGTTACAAAAACCTTTTTTTTTTTATTTTAAAATGGCTATTTATATTATGGTTTTGTCTTAGTTATTTTTTTTTTTTAATGAACTAATAAATTTTTTATAAAGTTTTCATTTAAGAAACTGTATAATAAACAACTATTTCAACTATATAACACAAAAAATAAAAATGCCTTAGAGTTCAATTAAAAACTTTGTAGCTTGCAATGTCAAAAGTCCTGTAACACACTTTTACTGTTTTCCACAGTGAGGAAGCAGCGAGAAAAGTTCGTGCCCAAGCTCTAGAAGCGGCTCAGTATGCAGTTCATGCTCAGGCGAGGCTCGCAGCGGCTAAAGCTAGAGCAGCCGCAGCACAGAAGATTGCTGCAGCGAGAGAATCAGCCGCTGCTAAGGCGATTCAGAACGCCGCACACGGCCAGGCTGCTAGGCTGCAGAATGCCGGTATAATACGTAGTATTTTTTTATTTATCATTAGTTAAACACAACAGTTCTTTGATCAATATATTGACGTGAAGAAATCGCTTTAAGAGCGAAAAAACCGCCCATATTACCAACTTGGTAATACAGATGTTCTTATATATGGAAGACACCTTCAAAGCTTTTCCAAAGATAAATTATTAATTCTATTGTATGGAGTATTACCTAAACGCCAGTTTTGGCTTTTTGCCCACCCCCATAGATGGCGTCATAGGGAAGATTCTGCCACAGTTAACACGCTCGGCGATCGGGTCAGCCGCAGTTTTATTATTATTCCGAGTTGTTGTAAGGACGACGCTGCTGCCCACCTGTACTGTAATAATAATAATAATGTCCTCCAGACAGAATTCCGGCCACGGCGGCCTGCCTCAACGGAGGCTAACCATCAGCGCAGGACAGGATTACAGTGCCCAAGTGTATGCGCATGCACAGGTGCACTCTCTATTTCCTCACTCTCATAATCCGATGGGACGGTAAACCGACACGACCGGAGAGAGATCAGGCGCAGGACCAACGGCTTTACGTGCTTTCCGAGGCACGGGGATGAGACACCGCCAACTTCCTGACTCCGGGCAACTACTGAGAATTTCTTGACGGAAAAACTCAATAATTAATTTTTGGCCCGACCCGGGATTCGAACCCAGGACCTCATGATCAGTAGTCGCACTACTACAAACACTAGACCAACGAGGCAGTTACCTGTACTGTACCTGTTTGAATTTCCCATGCTGCCTCTTATGACACCCAGGAACGACATGGGTAGTGGATATTATTATTTATTACACCGCCACTACATGGTAATCCTTTCATCCATGGTAGTTTATCCCGGAATATAAATACTTGACAGAATTTGCCTTTGATTCCTAACTCATATAAAACATTGATTCACATAATATTATGTGCAAATAATTCTGCAGACATAGAATCGCTAAAGTGGTCGGTGCTGCAAAGCTCCGGCGCCGCGGGCGCTGCGGGCGCAGCACAGCACGCTGCAACCGCTGCGGCGGCAGCTCTGCGACTCGACGCAAGTGCAGGATGGCTGCCGGCGAGCAGATGGCAACCGTATTCGCCCCGTGCTTGGATTTGGTAAACGTATACTACGTTATCTTCATGTAAAAAACATGATTTGATGTGACTAACGCAAAAATTTTAATAAGTTTGCCTTTAATTATTTTTTATTTATAACCTAGATGTTTTTATTTGAAATAAATATATTATAATATAAGAATCTCTAAACAAAATTTTCATATTTAAAAAAAAAAAAACATTTATTAATTGCCTAATATCTACTAGTAGTGCAAACAATATAAGGTTATAATTTAAAATTGTTTGAACTTATAACGTATAATGTGGAGCATACACTATTGGCAAAGTATAATTTGCAAAATTATGTTTTTCTATCTGCATTCTCTATCTTTGCAATATTTTTATGATTATCTTACTAAAATTTGTGGCCAAATTTTTCGTAGGATTGGAATTGTAGCTGTGAATTAGGTTTATTGAAGATTTTAAAATTTTAACTACACAAGCACGCTTCACAATATGTATCATAGGTAATAAATCAAGTTCTATATCATTTTGTACGCTTAATTTCGCTTTGGTTAGGTACATATTATGTAACAATCAAACAGTTATTTTGTATAACTTGTTCGGTAGTTTTAATAAAATATATCCTTAATTGTACCCCTGTAATTGTTATAAAAATGATAGGCAATTGAATATTTTTTTGTGAGTATAGTTTTTCATTTGTGTAATAAATAATATTTTAAACGTCTTTTGCTTTATTTCATTCCTAAAAATTTTCTTACAAATAGGTACTTAAATTATTCGTATTCAAGGAGTATCGAAGAGGTATTTTCCGATTTTGACATAATCTTATTTGTTTATTCCTAACATGTAAAATTAGATTCGCTGTTGCGTTATTATAACGTATATTAATATCCTCTCAACTGTCCCGGCCCAAATGGTCGCTTTGGCGCATACTGTCCAACCCTAAACGAGTGATTTATTGCCTACGTGGCGCGCGTCATTAAAATGGCAATATCTTAATAATTATGAATGGAAACTCTATAAAATAATATGTTGTTAGGATTATTGTTAAGTAAGAATATGTGTAAATGTGTACATTCACCTTTTTTATATTTTCTAAATTCCGTTGTAAAAAAACTAAAAGCAACTTTTTTCCAGTATGGTAAATAAAAAATGTAAAAAAAAAAGACGTGTGGCACTCGGGGACTGCCGCGGTAAAGCTATTGCATAGCATTTTGTATCAACTTATGCAATTATAATTATTTATTTATTTTATTTATGCAGTATTTCTTTTTCTTTGATATTAATTCAAGTTACTTAGGGTAATCCAATCAAATTCAACCAGATTTAACCGAACCCGCGTTATAACGAACTCACTATTTGTGAAAAATACTGTATCACCGGACCGCGTCGCAAAAAACTCAGGTTCGCGCAGTACATACGTCAGGGCGGCCGTACGGCAATTATATTAACAAGACGCGGTCCTACGGTTACTCAGTTCCACGCTCCACGGCAAGATTTGTCACTTATTATTTATTGTCCAATTAATTGTCTTTAAGTTCAAATGGCACGCTCTATTAACATAAGTCTAAGACAAAACAAGGAGACTTTCAATATATGAACAACCCAGCTTCGCGCAAAAACTCTCGCGACCCCTATATGCGACCGGAGAACGTCATCGGCGCAGGCACCGCGTGCCTAGCTAGGAGCGCGCCCTAGCGGCTGCCCGCTGTCTGCTCCCTAGCTCGGCTCGATGCCAACAGGGGTGACTAAAGGTGGGCGAAACTGTTATATTTTTCTAATTCGTTATGTTGTTGTAATATATTTTTCTAACTGTTGTTTTAAACTGTTATAATATATTATAACAGTTTTAAATATTACATTGTACACGCGGTTAGTTCAGTTCAGTCGTCGGCTGTGTTCGCATTTTATTTAACGAAAAATAAACAAAAACAACAATAGCTTTTTCACGTAATATGGGGACCTGCTATCAAAACATTACGTATATAATTTAACAGATAACAGTGTCATTGTCATCTCAGCTAGACAGCTAACTGAACACTAAACTGATATATTATATATTACAACAGCCAAATTAAATAACAGGCACAACAGGCAACTAATGAAGGAAATAATATATTTTTGTTTACCGTTATAATTTAGTGTTAGTAAAATAAGCTCTTATTAAGTTAGCTTAGAGTTTATATTAGTGTAAGCTATACGCAATCCTTGTGGCATAATGAATGTAGGTAGTATTTTATTGACTCTCATTGTCTCGGCCGATGCGACGGTTGGACCGTAAACGTAAACAGATGACGCTTTCTAACGATAATGAATATAATATTATAACAGTCAATGGTTCATTATTCTAATGTGTTGTAAGATTAAAAATATATAATGAAATATATTATCAGTTGTATGTTATAACGCCCAACTTTAGGGGTGACCGACCGCGCGCACAAATGCAGCTAGCCTCCCCCTCCCGCACCTCACTAATCGTCGCTTCACACCGCTTGAGATAAGACGATCTACTATCAGGCGCTAACAAACCCCTGTCCCGGACATAAGGACCTATGTCCGCGAGTAAATTGGCAATTAGAAGACACTTTGTATTGTTGGTTTTTACAAAAACGATCAACTGGGCGAATGATATCTGGCCCTTTGCTTTGTGAAAAAGCATTACAGTTAAATAAAAAATTAGGTGACGGCTGCTCGTTTGTCGCAAGTAAAGCGGGCTACATACGAGACGATATCGGTGGCGATCTAGGGTGGAAAGAAATCGGGGCTTTTATCGGGGCAGACCCTACACACGAGCCTGCCTAGCAGTACGCGTTCGGACTTGGAGCGGAACGCATATGCGGTAGAGTTCTTCAAAATGCCTCCGGCTCTCTTAAAAAACCAACGTGTTGTTTTGGTATTAGCCCTCTCGGTTAATTTATTCGAAAATAGAAAAAGAGGAGTTGCTGGGTGAAAAAATGACTCCAAAAGAGACAAAAATTAAGCCACATAAACGTACTAATGGTCTGTAATCCAAAGACATGATTAATTTTCTCCGGATGGATGAAGACAGTTTTTACAACCTTCTAGAAATTATTTCGCCACTTATACAAAAACATCAATTTTTCCTACCTATGCTATTTAGTTATTTCTTCTCTTTGTTCATTTCTGCTTTGGTCAAAATCGGGTTATGTACTACAGACAACAAACAAAGAAATAAAATACTTTTCTATAATAATATGTATACTTTTATTTTTTAATGTAATCTTTATTTATGGACTAAAACTATCAAAAAAATAAAATAGGTTATATCCATTTTTCAAGATGATGTTGTGACCAGGATTAAGAAAGGAATGCTTCGGTGGTTTGGTCATGTGGAAAGAATGAATGAGGAAAGAGTGACAAAACAAATTTATATGGCAGATGTGAACGGCAGAGTCGGGAAGAGACGCCCTAGAAAAAAGTTTATCGACCAAATTGGCGATATTTTGAAAATGGGCCACGTTAAAAGTACCCTTAACCGACGAGCATGTATGCGTAGATATATGGATGTAAAGGAGACGAAAGAGGTATGTCAGGATCGTGTCAAAAGGAAGTCCGTGGTCTCTGCCTACCCCTCTGGGTGACAGGCGTGAGTGTTTATGCTATTATGCTATTTTTGACATAAAGAAACCTTTAATTTCGGACATACTCCTTCCTATATAGCATGTTTGTTAAAGTGGGGATGCTGAAGGGATAAGAGTTAGTTGTTGATGAGAGGATGAAGGCACGTAAGAGATCTGAGTGCGTTCTTGTGGAGATAGCGTGGGCATAGGAGTTAGTTGCTGAGGAGAGGCTTTATCTTCTCCTTACTTACTTCATACACCCTACTTTACGAACGGCAATAAAACAATTAGTTTAGTAGGCATTCTTGACCATGTCACTTCGCAGGGTCACAGGCTAGGGTGGATATGATTTGAATTTCTATAGATTTTAATTAATTAATTTATTTTATTCAATTTATTTTATTCATTTTTTTTTGTAAAATATCAGTGCCATAGGCTTCTACTCCGTTCACATGATTAAAATGTAAAAATTTTGTTATTGTTACGAGCTTGAGGTTCGTGACAATAAAAATTGCCGATAAAATTACCTAAATTAACACTTTAATTTACTTTACACAAATTAAAGTTAAAAACACTAATAATTAAACACACTAATTCACTTTATTCCGCTCCGAAGCTTCGCTTGTTTCGCCAAATCAACACTCTTCGATCGCATCTTGCAGCGCCTACTTATATAAATTAGCAAAATATCCAGAATGTTCAAGTAAACACGCGCAAGGTACCGAGAGTTCGAGTTTTAAATTTCAAGAAGTTTAGTTCTTCGGTTCGAGACTAAATGGCGCTAGTGCGCCGATTTGAGGCATTGGAGCGCGTAACACTGCCCCCTCCTAAGACATGCTCGTCCCGAGCATTATCGGTCCCATAATAACGCGCTAGGCGATCCACATGGACGATCTTAGGAGTCCCTCTTGCGCCTTTCTGTATCCGGTAGGTTACATCGTTGATCCGTCCCATTTAGCTTGAAGCTAAGGAGATTTCCCTTTGCTGCGGACTGGATTGTGCAACCACATAAGTGAACCTTCGTCGAACCCTTTGTTGTTCATTTTGCGGTCATACCGGGTTTTCATCTTTTCAGACATTTGCTGGCCCGATTGTCTGACGTGCTCATAAACGTCATTCATTTTGTTCCGCAAGTCATTTGCATAATCGGTTATACTGCGTGGAGCATCAGGTGGTATCCCGGTGATCAGATCTGCAGGCAGCCGTAATTCTCTTCCAAAGTTTGCGAAAGCTGGTGTCACTGCTGTACTTTCGTGAACAGCGCTTCGATATGACAACAAAAACGGTTGTATGTGCTTGTCCCAATCTCGTTGCCGATTGTCTACAACTTTTGCTAGGTACCTCTCCAATGTCTGATTAAATCGTTCTACCATTCCATCAGATTGCGGGTGATAAGAAGTCGTTCTTGTTTTATGAGAACCCATAACTCGGCAAGTTTTCTGGAATATTTGAGACTCAA